CCGTTTGCGATATCTTACGATGTTATCCGAGCATCGTTTACTGTCGCCGTATTTTTACGGTTGTTGTAAAGGACGAACGTTTACTGTCATTGTTTACAATTAACGTAATACGCCGTAAAACGCCGTATATGATTGACGTAAACGGTCACTGTAAACCGCTGTCGTTTTTCGTCGTAAATGATTGGTGTACGACCGTTTACGGCCGGGCATCAACGACCTGGGTTGTTAATTAAAGAGTAAAAATATCTGCGATATAAACGTATTTAGCTATCTGTTAATAATACATTCGATTTGTCCCAACGTACTATGAAAATTAATAAAGCTGCAAGTCATAGTACCAACTCAAGTGAAGTTAAGAATGTGATGACGAAAAAGCCCTAAGTACCGAACAGATCGAGCGAAACTTTGCCACTAAAAAAGAGTAAAGTATCAAGTATGAATGAAGGTAAAGAATAAAAAAAGAGTAGGATATCGGGGGTAACCTTTTTATCGCCCACATCCTTTTCATTAAATCATAATCGATGTCGGGAAGTGATAATAGTGCGCTCACAGACAAACATACAGAACGGAAAAAGAAAATGCTTGAGTTTTATCCAACTACTCTCTTTTTCTACACTTGGAAATATCCAAGAAAAAATCAAATGTTACCGTTTTTCCAATATCTAATAAATATCAGCGATGACATTTATCGTTCTTTCACTGAATAACACGTATATTTATCTACAGCATCGTCTATGTATATAAATGGTGTGAAAATGATCATAAGTCTCATACTCTACGTACATCATCATCATCGCACAATTTAAGTAAGTTGCATACCAACATATATTTATTTTCTCAATATAAATAGACCTACCGATATTAATGCGATAAAAATAAAAAGAAAGTAACATTCGTCGAGATTTTATTCAATATATCAATAATCAAAGTTAATAATTTGATACATGTATCTTGTTAGCTATATTAAAATTCAAGTTGAGATGTATTCATACAATCGAAATTATTAAAGTCTACATGAATAACGAACTTTTTTATTTCTCTGAGCGATTTGCAAGGCAAAAAATTCCGATTTATTCACTCGGTGTGGTATAATCACATCGTTTGGACTTGCACTTCCGCAAGTAATATTGTGTAGGTTACTTGCCTGTATGATCGCATGTGTGTTGAGTTCTTGTATACGACTCAGACATTTTTAATTAGATTGTAATGCATAGATTTGCATTTGTATTGCTTACAAATACGACCTTTATGATAATTGTTTTTTCTTATGTGGATTGAAGTTGATCGTTGCATGACTTTATTTATAGTCGAATTTCAACTTTTTATACAAGATGAGTTATTATTAAAATTAAATCAGAGTATTCAATTTTGGTAGAATAATCTTTATGAATATTATATTTAGGAAAGAACATTGTTTTTTTATAATTAACGAATGAAAATTGGTTACTAAATGAAAAATAAAAATGCGAGATTCAGGATTTTGATGGAGCTCAAAAAGATTCGAAATCAATTTAAGCTAAGTCGCATTTTTAATTAGATGAAAATACGAGGAATTTTACATTTATTTGAGGAGACCATTAGAGTAGTCAGCTTTCAAGTTTTAGTTACAAGTAGATATGAACACGCTGTACTACAGTTCAGTTAAGGATGTAAGATTTTTGGTGAAATGGGGCAATCATAGTCATGAAATTTTTGTTAAAGTCAAGTAAAATATTACATGAAGTAATTTTTGGGTCTTTACTAGTCTAGATACTGGAAAAAGTGTTTGGATATACGGAACAATTACTTCCTCTGTTTTCTCGAAAAATTAGGCATTCAGCAATACCAATTCTTGAGTCAGAGTTGCTTGAAGTTGGAATGAACATGAATCGGGATTGGTGTATGTCTACTATAAATCTGCTACTGCTTTAGTTAGCCGTGCACATTTCTATCTTCAAAATTGTAAGCTATATCCTCATACGTGTAGATAAATTTTGGCGACAAGGTGAATGTTGATGTCGAGAGATAATTTTAAATACGTATATCTGAATCATTGTAGACCAAACAATCATGTATGATAACGATGATAATGATCAACCTTCTGGTTCCTCCAATGGAACATTTGATTCTGTCGCTGTTGATAATCGTGAGTGAATTTACTAATTATCTATTGCAAACTAAGTATCATATATTTTACTAGAAGTCATCCAAATGATCTTGGCTGCAGACAAGAAAGTGAGCACATTTAGAAGATAAGATGTACTTCATTTTCATATTCTGTTCAAAGGATGATTGACTATCGAATATGTAAAACAAGGACCGTAATAAAAGCGAAGGACATGCTGCTTATCAAACTGGGATAATAGTAACAACAAAATTGCAATAGAATTAAATGAGTTGTTACAAAAACTAGTAACTTGAGGCAATAATAAAAGCGAGAAAATGCTGTTGCAGAAAATATAAATTTTTGCTTGTTAAAAATAAAAATATTTCAGTCATATTCTGTTCGATTGCAAAGACAGGAAAATTTCAAATCTAGCTGACACTTTTAAGTCAACATGACAAGTTCCTAATGAAAAATGTTTTGAAACCAGCTAAGGTAAACAGACATCCTATCTTAATTAGTACAACAATTGTCTTTGATCTAAAGTAGTATTATAAATGATGCAAAGAATGAGATGCATCGCATAATAGAAGGCAAAAGACGCATGATGAGCACACGGTTTATTCGGATTCTTTGTTCGTGAAATCTTCAATTTTTTACCAAGTTCAGTATCTTGTCGCATCAAATTCGGGAAGATGTGAAAAGTTGTATTTCACATTTTCTTTTGCATTTATTTGAATACAGATTACTTGCTTCCGGTTCGTGAGACTTTATAATTCACACCATTGAGTACATTTACATGTGAGCGTGGGCGTGTGGTTGTGGCTGTGGTTTTGAGTGTGGATGTGGTTGTGAATGTGGGTGTGGAGTGTGGAGTGTGAGTATTATGATAGAGAGGACTCACACTCACATCCACAACCTAAAAAGGATGTGGGTGTGGGTATGGGTGGATGTGGATGTGGATGAGAAATATCCCACACCCACACCCACACCAATAGCCACACCTACACCACCCACACCCTCACACCCACCCACATCCTCACACCCACACACCCACACACCCAAACCCCAACCCACACCCACACCCCACATTAACATTTAGAAAGTCTATAAGATGCAAGCTTTTATGTAATGAATTATTATCAGTTGAAACGACGCCGAAATGCAACCCATTTTCGTCTAGTCATTGATTTGAATTCTTGTCCATATGTTTTCGAAGTTGAGACAAAAATGAAAATTGTGAGTAGTGACGGAATGAACGAAACGAAGTAACCAAGCAAGAACAGTGAAGGATTTCTTGCTGCTTTCATGCATCCAAACGAAAAAGAAATAATTAAACGTGGTAAAGCTAAGATAACTAAGAAACTCGCACTAATTATCATATGTTTATGATTACGAAATTGTTCTTTTATATGTTGTGTGTGTGAATTGTTTTGGTTGACGAATGCGCGTTTCTTTGCAATACAAATGATAATGCCAATAGCTGAGATAACTTTAAGCGAAAAAGGAACAATGAAATGAAAAATGTTAATAAATGAATTGTAGATTTCCACACTGGGTTTAAAATTAATCAGACACCAAGTTCGTTGTTCTTCTTCGTCGTCAATTAGACGACGATGAATAGGATCATGTAAAAGAGAAACAGATGTACACAATAGAATACCAAATACAACTAATTTTGACATTTTTCTACTTTTTGCCACGTTAAAATTGATATCAAGAATGACAGTAAAGAGCCGTTCAACAGCGACACAAGCATGGAACCAATCAGTAATGGCTAACAAAAATCGAAGAATAAATTCAATTAAAATGCAACTAATCAAGAGAAAACCATGCGAAGTAATCGTAGACGTTTGAGAAAGAATCAGAAACCATAATTTTAAATTAAAAACAGTGATGGTTAGAATTGATGTTATGGCTGATACAAGAATATAAAAACCACAGCCAAATTTTTGACATGGTTTTGATTGAAAAGTTAAAATCGATAGAATTCCAGAAATTAAACCAACACAAAACATGATTGATGCTACAATAATACTAATTTTGACATATATAGATTGTCTAATAATAGATAGATGAGGACGAATCTTATAGCCTAAAATTGCATCGAGTGAGAGACCAAATTGTTGTGTAGTGAATTGACATTGTGTACCATAAAAACATTCTCGACAGACGCACATAGTTTTTGTTGGACATGTTGGATTATCTTGAAAACATTGAGCTTCATTTTGACAAATTTTCGAACCCCTACAATTGTAAGTCATATTAAAATCGAAATGAAAACAATTGGCATGTCTTTCTTCTGTACAGAGACACATAAATATTTCACTGTCTTGAAAACAAACAAGATTAGAATGTTTCATACATGCAAGATGATAGTATTTAGCTCGATGAAGAACTGGATAATTAATAATTGATTCATTGAACAATTCTTGAATATGTGGACAGTATGTAGGTCGAGCAACTTCTGTAGCAATTATTACAGAAGCTGTATAGTTGTGTTGAAGTACGATAAGATAAAATTTAGTTTCAATTTGAGCGAAGACAAGATGAAATGGTAATGACATGAAAAAAGTAACAGTATCTTGATCAAATCCTATTTTCTTAAACATGGTCGCTCGAACTGGTGCTGGATCAAGACTATATAAATCATAGTCGCGCACTGTAATAAAGTGAACTAGAAGAGATTGAGGTATCGGCACATCAATAAATGAAATATCAATTTTGACATCCTTGTGTTCACATCGTTTACCAGAAAATCCATCTTGACAGATACATGTGAAATTTGTAAAAGAAATTCGATCATTATATGGTACACAAAGACCTCTATTCATACATGTATTATTCTGACAGATTGATTTAAGAAAACATCGAGATGACATCTTTGTTAAGGGACAAAGACATATCGATCGATTATTTAAAATACCAACACAAATAGAATCTGGTGAACAATTACAATTGCTATGATTACTGAAAATCATTTCAGATTTTTTCAACTCACATTGGCAAGATCCGATATTATTATTTCTTTTTTGCTCATGATATATTGAGTTGCATAATATTTGACAATGATGCCTTGCTGGAATTGTCAATTGAGCACTCATACGATTGACAGGCATGAAAAGAAATTTCACTGGTAATGTCCAACTTGTAAGATAAATAAGGTTGATTTTATCATAAGCATCAATATGAACTGTATAGTTTTTTGTTATATCCTTCGGTTGATCTTGATAGAGCAGATAAATATTAAATTTAGTATTGCAATCATGAATAGGTATGTAAGTGAATTGTTCATACGAATGAATGAAACCAGTATTATCAACTAAAGTAATTAGCATACCAAGAGCAGTAAGCTTATCCAAATTTTCGTAGTGAAATCGAAGAGTTAAACTAACACGTTGATTTTGGTATTGACAACGATCACCGTAATAGCTCGGTGGACAGAGACACTGTTCACTTTCACTTTTTCCATAGTAAATTAAAATACCTCGATGACATAGCCATGCTTGTCTAATATCCAATTCATCATTTCTGTTCAAAGCATTCGTTTGAAATGTTTGATATTGGATGTCTTTGTCAACGAATGGTAAAATTTGTTTCTTTGGAAATGGACGCGAAGATTGAGGGGAAAATGGTAATTTAATTACAAGATAAATATCATGCATGTATTGAAAATATTCTAACGTGTCTAAAATTTCATTATCAGGATGTCGACATAATTCCTCAATGCCATCTAAGTGTTTGCATTCACTACAACGAAATGAGAAATCAATACATTTCGAGTCATTCCAGCATTGATAACGCAGATGTCCATCAGTTGGATATGATATTCGGCAAAGTGTTCTTTCATCGGTTGCTCCTAGACAATCTACAATGCCATCATCAGTACGGTTTAGATGTAAACATCCCACTGTTTGATTTTTCGGAAAGACACAAGGATGATAATCTTTAGGACAGTTAAATTTTGATGGGCAATTGATTTCATCGATTCCTTTCGGACAATTCCATACTCCATTACATCGTGTATATTGATTAACGCATGGCCATTGCTCACAATGAGTCTCGTCAGTTTCATTTACTGAAGAAGATAGATCTCTTGTACTGTCACACAGAGCGGAGAAAGGAAGTTGTCGAATATGAGCTATCTCTCCAATACTATGAGAATTATCTTCTCCACCAATGCATTCATATAGATCATTCTCTACCATCGTAGGTGATAGGCATTTGTTTTCGGATGTACAATGAAAACGATATTTATCATTTAATGAGCATGAGTTGGATGCAATGGATTCGTCAAAAGCATTATAACAATCTGGAATACCGTCCATAATATGATGTTTTGGAATGCATTTGTTTGTTCCTAAACAATTTACCATCGACGAATGTGTGCAAGAACTATCATTAATACTTTCATAGAGATGAATGCAGGAAATAAATACATTGTAAAGATCAGCTTGAGATGAAAATTCCAGTGTGTGAGTATGTAAACACGTGTAATTATCAACTTCGAATGTTGGAATAAGAAATGGACACTTATGCTTGTTAAAGCAGAAAAAATGTGGCAGGCCAACAGTATGTTTGATTAATGTTTGATTAGAAAAGTAACCTAGTCTTACATGGCCATCCCACACAGGAAAATCAGGTGCAAAAAAGTATGACGAACAATTTCCCAGATTGAATTTACATTTTGATGCATTTTCACATAAATACTTGCAATAAGTATCAAATTCATTTGGTTTGAAAATGTTTGATGAGCAAATTGCAAATTTAAAGCAACTAGGAAATCTTGTATCCTCTTCATTGTGCCAATTATATCTGAAGTTGAATACTTGATCTCGATTATTTTTGCACCTGTTTGAAGATTGTATTACAGGCCAGTACGCACAGTTACCATCACCACAGTTAAATGCATTAGGATATGGACAGACAGTATCTTCACATCGAAAGCTTGGATCTTTTAGACAATGAATTCTAACACCAAATTTAGTCGGTTCATCCGATTCGTCTATACATTCATGGCTGACTAAATAGTTGATAGTAGTTTCTAGTAAAAATGCTTCATCAATGCACATTCCACTTCGACATTGATATTCATTGTCGACACATTGATTTATCTGAAGTTCAAGACAGTGTTTTTCATCTTCGCCACCATCAAGACAATCGATTTTTCCATCGCATATCTCACGCCAATCGAGGCATATGAGAGAAGAGCCACGATCACATTTTATGTGCATATAACATGTGAATTTTCCATGAAAATTAGCTTTCGTTTTCGTGTTGAATGTTATATCGACAATGTTCGAAAAAGTTTGATTTAGAGGAAACCGGTATTGACAGAATGGTCCAAACCATGGTACAGTACAATTATAAAAAAGCTTCATTGATAATGAGTTATTCATTTCTAAAAAGGTTTGATAATGTTCAATAAGATCAATAGGACTTGACCATTTTATTAGACTTTCAACAGTCACATTGTCTTTCTTCAGCTGGTCGAATGTTAATATCGAAGATATTGATCCTTTGATGACGTCATCTTCCTTTTTTAAATTTGATCTAATGCAATACTCAATAAGCTGCTTTGTTTTATATATTTTGCTATCTAAATCCTGCTGATTATCTATCATATGATAAATACAATCACTTGATAAATCATGATGAATTGAATCTGTCTGATAGAGATTGTAATAATGTTGCCATGCAGTTGAATAAGAAATTATGACAACAAGAATGATGATGACCTGTAATAATGTCATGCTCATTCACAATAATCGTTTCCTAAAATGACATTTAATTTCTCATTTTTATTATAAAAGCTCTTCCAAATCTCATCTTACAAGAAAATAAAACATATACTTATATTCATCTAATTTTTTAGAAGAAAAAATATTTTATCAATACAATAGAAATTATTTTATTCTTTTCATATGCTATCAATAATTGATGATCATAAATACGTTATTTAATTCAGATATGTATTTTACATAATGTTAAAATTCTTCGATTAGCATTTAGTCTTGTCAACAACTGTTTTTATTATACAAGAAACCAATTCGAAGTCATAACAGAAAATTCCTTTCTACTTAAGTAGAAAAACATACCAAAATTAAAGAAATGAAACAAAAATTTTAAAATATATTTGAGAAAGCAAAATAATCTTTATGATACACTTGAAATCATCATGCTCTTGCAATCCGTGAAAAAAATAAGCAATTTACTATGAAATTAGTAAAATATAGTTTCTGTCGAGAATAATAATAATAATATTAACACTAAAATTAATTGTAATTTACTCATTATATTGTAAACTTCACTAGTACAAATTAAACTTATATGACGTATACAGAAGTCTCATTTTTGTGATCAATATTCATTTCTTTTATGTTAATTTATTGTACAATGTTGATATGAACAACACGCAGACAAGATGCATTAACTTATTCCTGTAAAATTTCAGCTTTCTAGTATTATTTAGTCTACAGATACGAGAAGCGTTACATTTCATATGACATTTGGTATCATCGAACAAAAAATACTTGATAGTCGTATATTTCATTTATTTAAAACTCCTTTAAACCCCTTTTCCAACGGATAGGCTTAGGAGTTCTACGCCAGATGACGTATTTATATCTTGATGTATTTCATACAAAAGAATGACTCTTTTGTCTGTTAGCCATAATTTAATTTTGATCGAAGTCAAGAGTTATTATGATGATAATTAGTGCAACGTGTTCAATTTTCAAAGAGATTCTTCTATATTTTGTTTTTCATCATCGTAATTCCATGAATGATTCATATTCACGATGAATACAAATATACTGAGCCAATAGGGAATACTGATTTCTCATTTTGAAAAATATTTCCGAAAAACGTGTCACGTGATCCGTAATCGACAAGCTTCGTAGTATTGAACTGTCTACTTATGTTATTGTAGTACTCACCTGTCCGTAAGACGATCGTTTTTTTTATAACTAGAATGAATTTGATACGTTTACTGAAGTGTATTTTTTGTATGATATGATCTAGCACTGTGGAAAATAAAAAACGTACATTTTTATTAGTCAAATCGAAGACAGACTAATATTACCATTAATAACAATGAAAGTCACGTTCCATTTGATGAATGAGAGCTCTAATGAGAACATACATACGTCAATGGAGAAATATTAATCATATTGTTTTCTTTTCTATAGAAAATGAAGTGAATGATGCTGGTACTATTCAGGCAGAATAAGAATCTTTCCAAATAGACTCCTATGCATTACTGTTTTGACATATCATGTGGATCGGTTGCATGTTCGAATAAAATAAATAACGTTCATAAAATGCTAATTCACTTGTCTCTTGGTTGAAAGGTGAATCAATAGACAGAAATAAATAGAACGAAGAAGAGTCTAAATTACACGTACTAGCGAAGACTACCAAAGCTTTCGAAATATGCTCGAGAATTTAATAAATGCGATTGTAGACTTCAGCAATTTCAGATCGCAAAAAAAATGATCAGATTGCTTTTTTTTTAAATTAAACTGAATAGAAGAACAAGTTTCGATCGGACACGAATTGAGAGAGAATTCAAAGTACTTTTAATCTGTAAGAATATCTGAAGATTTAATTTTAGAAACAAATTTTCAGTGTGACGTACAATATGAAATAATACAATGATCAACTCTTTCAATTGTATTTTCTATAGAATAAAATCATTTTGACTATTTCCATGTCAAGACTCCGGAATAAGGATGGAATGAATCATATAATAAATGATGACAGATCCATTAATTGTAGATTGAATAACATGCAATGTCCTGAAAAAAAACTTGGTTTTTGTATAAAGATATCAAGAGAAGCGTCTTGCCAATATTTGGGCTAAATAAGTGTGTATTAATTGAATGTACGATGAATAGAAGTGTGAAATGCCAGCTAGGGCAAAATTAATGGTAATGATCTTCTCTGAACTTACTCCTTCATATCTTCAAAGAATATGATACCTTAGATCTGTATATTCTTGTCTTTCAAGTCTATCGTTTATTGTGTGTAAATAATAAATATGACCGAAGTTTAAGAGTGGGACTTTGAAATGAAGGTCGGCATTAACATTCAAATCAAACTATGACACTGAAGATTTATTAATTATTGAATATGCTTATCTTATTTACGCTCATGGTAATTATGTTGAATAATTATTACTGAATATCGAAATATGTTTATGAAATAATGTTATGATCTTATTTGAAATTACTATAGCCGATTGGTCTTCGTTTCAGGCGAAAGAGTCGTTTATTTATTCACTTCGTTATGCCTTTCTTCTATATTGATATCGACATTTTTTTCATGTTGATCTTTTTCTTTGTCAATCTCTGCAATTCTTCGCATTCTTAATGTTATGTATAGATGCCTTTGAGTAAAGATCGTCATTAATACGTTGCTCGAGTATTGATGAGTAGATGTTTTTCTTTTTATGACGATCTCACTTAATATTCGTCATGCTGAAAATCATCGGTAATGAACAGTTACTCTTTAAAACAATATCTATTTCTTTTACAGCAACATGAATAAGAATCATTAATGAAATCTCGATCGCAAACGACGCCTACTCTCTACGAGTAAATATTCAAGCAAGGAATATATAAGAAATATGTCATAGTAATAAAAAAAAAAGAGAAATTTTAATAAGACAATTGTCATGAATGCATATAAGTAATCATACAAGTTATTTGTCAATATTTTAGCGTTGTTGTTGATATAGTATTAGTGGTAGAAAAGAGAAAAAAAATCAAACGAGAAAATATTCGTATGTAAATCGATGTTCCAACTCAAAAGATTATAATATTTGAATAAAATTGATTTATATTTTATTAGAAAGAATAAAAATCCATGTATATGAATAAATCCATAAAGATTCTATCACTTTTGTGGCAACAAAAGTCTTTTTTGATTTTCAATCTAGTTAAATGTATCATCGTTGGAAACAGCCTTAGGTAACCATTAAAATCTTTGTAGATACATCAAGTATGAAATTTAGATCATTTTTTAGCAAACAAAACATCAATAAATGTATGCATGTACGAAATCATTGTCATACTTGCTCAAATGTCAATCGACTCGTCCAAAAGGATCTAATACATAATATCCTCTAAAATCTATGCTAGGAATGAAACGAAGAGAAATCTCGATTGATGAAAATGTATTCTTTTTGAATCTAATTGACTATAATTAGATAGCTAGAGGCACACTAATTCGATTTCAAACATGAAAATTGAAGAAGTGTGGGTGTGGGTGTGCGTTTATCTTTTCTTCATCTAGATCCATACCCACACCCACACACCCTCATCCACACCCTTTTTGGTCTTACATTTTTTGTTGAATTATTATCATTATCGTGTATTATGGTTCTATACACCCAATCTAGATAAAGAAGAAAGAAAAACTTCTTCGAAGAAATATCAACGATACCTACCCTATCATTTAATAGGATATAACCGTTCAAAAGCCATTGGTGATCGCGCATGCAAAAATACAATCCATTGTAGGAATCATCAACTCGAACATATAATAATTTTTCATACAAATGATTATCAACCACAACCACGTTGGTCTGAAGTGAAGAAGAATACGGCAGACAATATTTATATTGGATTTCATCAGACAGATCCTAACAGTGTTGTAAAAATTGGCCACAGTAATTTTCTTTCCAGTATTACACCACCACAAATGCTTGGCTTTAGCATTTATTTTGCACGTTCGATTGAACATACATCCGGCAAAGCAAGAAAACAAAGTGCTTTTATTTGTGCAGAAATTCGGATGGAAAACGTTAAGAAAATAGTTACAAGCGAGATCAATCCGATAAGCAACTCCGACCTATGGTGGCAAGAGTATGATACCGTTTACTATAATCATACAGAGGAAGCAAGAGACGAATTCTTTATAAAGAGCTCATCACAAATAATACGATGGGTTATTACAATCAAAGATGACTCCAATAAAAAGCTACATGAGTACGGTATGGATGTCGAATTTGATGATACTAGATGTGGATGTTGCTGAATGACAATTATAAAGATAAAAGCTTCTGACAATGAAACAATACCATCTAATATTCATTTTGCGTCATTCTTAGTGCACGGCTTCATAGCTATTTCAGTCTACTGTATAATTAGTGGGCAATAATATGCTAATTACAATTCGCTCTCTGGGATCATTTTTATCTCATAATCACTGTTCTCAAGATGTTAATTTTACTGTTTTTAAGCTTATATTCAAAACATATATAGTAACTAACAGGAGCGCTGAACGGAAAAGGTGTTCAAAAACTTATTGAAAGATATGAACTCCATTATCTAACTTTAGACATACCGGTATAAAGATCTTGCAACTAATATGCACAATTCTCCAATTGTCTCTGGGTGTGGCTGTGGGTAGGTGCGGATGTGTGGGTGGGTGTCGGTGTGGGTGTGGGTGTAAGTGTGGGTGTAGGTATGGATGCGGATGTGGGTGTAGTTTAAGAGAAGACTCCCGCACACTCTCCACACCAGTATCCACAAACGACCCCACTGATGCCCACCCACATCCACATCACACCTACTGACCCTTATACCATACCCTCACCAACCCACATCAACACCACGCCCACATTTTTCTATATGCATCACAAAATAAATACAGTGCACTCCTAAATTCTTGGATGCATCCACCATATATGATAGAGAAACAGAAATGCAATCACCCTTTCAAGGAATCATTAAACCATATTCTTTTTTGAACATTACCATTGGCATAATAAAGTGTGCCTTTACCATACTTATTGTCATCCTTAAATTGTTCCAGGAGTCACTCAGCAATTACATAGATTATCCTTTTTTATACATTAACCATTAAAGGGTGTGCCGGTGTGGGTACGGATGTGGGGTGTTGATGCAGAAAATATCAATGACCACACCTACACCCACACCCCACACCCGCCCCATTTTATCTTTTTGTTGTTTTCAAACATTTCTGAAACGAAGACCGAGTAGTTATAAAAAGCAGAACAAAGAAAAAAAGACAAAATTCGAGTAATAATAATAATTTATTGACAAAATAAACATGTTGACATGCCGATATGAGATCGACACATTCGATTGACTTGAATGTGTCACTAGTTTAGTTTGTTCACTCGAATTTGTTGGTCTTCTGTCGATATGTAGGTATTCTGTGTGACAATTTGTTAATATCAATTGATGTATTTATTCACATTAAAAAACTTTGTTTTGTCTTTGTCATGTTCTCTCTTTTGCGAACAATGTTTGCTTAAATTTATCCAATAAAATAATAAGAATGATGATAAATACTTTTGATCAAAAATAACAAGCCAATCAATCTTTGGCAAACATTTTCATTGAACGGACGACCTAATGGAGCCCACGGGATGACTTTGATAGACTCAGTCAGGCCGATTAAAAATTCTGACTGGATATTAAGAGAAACCCATTTGAAGAAATTTCACTTTAAAATTTTCTTCAACAAAAATATCTCACAGTCCTTATGATATTCTGTAAGTTTCGGTCGTAACGGACAACTATTTCGTCAAGATATCGAATGCTTAAAAAGGGTGTAGGTGTGGGTCTTAGTCTCATTGGAGAACACACCAACACCCAGGCCCACACTACCTACACCCCACACCCCTGCATATTCAGAATCATATTTTAATTTTTGTTTCACCTATCACATGTAATCGACATATAACTTGAATTATTTCTTAAATTGATTGTTGGAATTCGTTGATGTAATTATCAACGAGTTTTTATCTACTATGTTACAAATTCTCTTTTGTGATTTGCTTAATTCTAGAGTGTGATATGTCCTTTTTCAAAGCTGGTTATAAATGGGCAAAGTATTTAAGCATTATTTACTTTCGAAATCATATCTTTTTTGGTGTAATGACATCTTTCTTGTCTTCTCAATATGATACTTTCACATCGATCGGATGGGTGTGGGTGTGGGGTGGGAATCAAGATTAGACACCCACGATCATACCATTATCTACACTCACATCGATCCGAACTCGATTCAGAAAGACCCGCTTCGATTCGATCTCTGTATTGTAAACAAATACTTCTATGAAATATTATTGTTAACCTCACTAAAGAAATGTTACCTGTTGTCAAGTAAGAAAAATACAAGTGAAATGTTCCGTCAATAATTTTTAGTTACCAATTAAGAAAATAATTAGAAGAAAGCGAAACAAATTTTATGAATATTACAATACTGATGCAAACAGAGCAAATTTTCAATACTAATTAGTTAATAAAAGTCGACAGTTACAGTTTTAAATCAACAAACGCAATATAATTTTCTCTTTAAAATTTATTAGTAAACATTTACAACCAAATCGAGAGTATCGAACTCGATGCATAGACAAGAAAGTCGTTTGATTGAAGTTTCAAATGAGTATTTTGAAGAAGCCACAACTACATACTATTATCTAACTGCATAAAATTCATCTGATCATTCGTGACTTTCGTATTAAAGCAAATTGGATGTGGCCAATAGCGATTTTGTCCGCGTTTGTTATCAGCTTCGCGAAAGAGAATTGCAAGATAACGCCGAAAGGCAGATGCATTTAACGGAAGTGACAATTCTAAATAGCGAACATTTGGAAATTTCCGAGCGAGTATGAACAATTCCGTTTCGTCGGTCAAACGGCGATCGACAATGAGATGACGAATGTTCACTTGAGATTGAGCAGTTGAGTCGAGCATGTGACCCTAAAAGAAAGTAGCAGAATATTATTGTAATCATTTTTTAAAAGATTTTAACATCACAAACTCGACTATTCTCAGTTTCTCATTATTCTGTTCGCCCACATCAGGTTCTTCGACGAATAACTGACAAACGAAAATAGATTTTTATTTTTTAATGGAAACGATAAGATGATGTAAATTGAATATTTCCTGTCTTTTATAGAACTAAATGTTTACAAGCAAAAATGAATTTTAAGTGATACACCAGAACAGGGTGCATATTTTCAGAAATCTGTCTCCACAAAGATACTTACCTATACTGTTGGTGAGAACAGGATTATGGATACGCTGTGATAATGCACTGTAATTGTTGATGATGCTAAAAGAAGTGATTAATCGATGTACTCGACGAAAGCGTATCTTGAGCTTATTAATGTCACATTGATCAACAATGTGCATATGATCCATATTTTCGACTTGTTTCACATTGGGCATGATCGAAATATCATAATCGCCAGTCGAAATAGGTAGTTGACGCTTATCCTCTCGTCCGTATGGTCATGGCAATGAAAAAATATGAATCTATGAAATATTCTTATACTGATAGAAAACAATACTCATGGGCCATTCTATAAATGGCTCATTGGACATGAGACTATCGCCTCGATGCGTCATTGTGTAATGAAACGAAGTGAGCAATGGTATGTGTTGAGCGAGCACAGCTTCAAGTACGAGAGCATTACAAAAAGCAGGATCAGGCGTATTGCGAATAGCTACTGTAAATTTCAATAAAGCTGGCATGTAACGAAGCATTGACTCGAGATCATTAAGAACGATTCCGATACCAGACTCCAGAAAAGTGAATTCGGTTAAATGAGGACATGAACCAATATATGTCAGATTATAATCGTCTAAAACGAGAATATGTTGATTTTGTCGATATCTTCAAAGAAAAAAAGGTTCATTTACCTATGAGTCGTGCGTGTTGAACATGAACGATCATCGTTTTCACATTAGGAATGAGTCCACCCATTAGTAAATAAACATCATCGATTGTTTCTAAGACCATATCGACATGATAAATAGTTGTTTACCCGAATTGATTTGTACAAAGTGAGTCCTTGTTGCAACCCGACAGTAACTGTGGTTAGAACAGCTAATTGGTCATCGAACAGCAACTTGTGAAAATCAAAATTAAATTGTGCCATGTTGATTGTTTCTAATCAAAAAGAACGAATTTGTTGTGGAGAAATATGAAAATGAGATTAGTCTAGTACTTTTTTGAAGCTAGGTTTGCAAAACTTCAATAAAAATTACTTACGCATATCTTTGTCAAGCCTGCGAACAATGATATGCAGCTGCTCAAGTTGTTTGAGATTCTTCAGATATTTTATTATATAATCAAGATCACGTGCAGTACATTCGATTAGTGTCAACTGCTTCCGATCATCAAATAATGATTTCATATGATTGGGTATCTGGGATTTTAAATACCAAATTGCTACGGAAGGTATTTGCTCGTGATTAATTGTTAATGATAGGGGTCGAAGAGAGTAGCACGATTCATTAAATAATTTCATGATGTAACCATGTTCTGGAAAGGTTGTTCCACTAAGATTGATATGTGTTCGATAAATAAGAATTACACGATGTAAACAAGCAGCAGGTGTTTCAGGTGTGAAAAAAGCTGGAAGAACATCGACTGGTGCCATATAACGGCAAATAGCTAATAATATTTCATCGGGTAAATCGACCAAACAAGTTATGCAATGGTGAAAACGTTTTGCCACTGGTGGTGAGCACGAGTTTGATTTCAATAAATGGAAATAAAACGATACGAAATGTATTACACACTTACGACAGCATGAAACCTTTCAATTATGGTTTTATCAAATCAAACGATTAATCGACTCTAAAAATTATGCAAAGATCTCATTCACAATGCAATCAGATTTTCTTTACAAAGTGCATCTTCAAAATGTACAATGTAATTTAGGTTATATGATCTAAATCATGCAAAAGGGCAATTCAAGCGGACGAAAATGGAAAGAAAAGAAGAGTAGATTCTCGAATTTATCCAGTTAGATTCTAGTCTAGGTTTTTTTTGAATACTTACCGTTGTCATTGATCGCATGTTTCATTTGTTTCTTCGAGACACTAACGATGTGGGAGAATAATTGTTGTTCAAATGACAAGGATTGGTCAACTACGCATATTGTTGCTCGTCTTACATTCGAACAATAGATATGTTGCTGATGTTTCACGGACATTGTTATGAAGGTGTACAATCCCCAAATGAACAGAAAACAGACCAATCATTTCCCTAGTCTGACGATTCAAAAATGCCAAACTCGTTCATTTTTGTCCGAAACGACGACGATTAACTCTTTCTTTCTCGTGTGATCGCTCTATTTGTGCATTGATCATTGTTAAAACCAATAGTTTTGGCAAATATCTTTTTCGGTTCCTTCATTATTGACAACAATTTTCATATCAACTGTGTTCAAAGCACATCAATTGAAATATTTGAAGGGCCCTCCTCGTTTGATCTATTGATTGATGGGTCGTGTGAAATGAGCCGAGCATATCAATCCAAGAAAATTGATGAACTTTACACAAGCAGCGTTCATTCGTTGATCCTTTCTGAGAAATTGCTAGATGTGAGTGTCAAAGAAGAAAGGACCCACACAACCACAACGCCACAACGCCACAGCCCATATCAACATCCTTACTCAAAACGATTTCCGACTTACAAAAATGTTGCATCTTGGATGTGCTAAAAAATGTCAAGTTGCATTGCTATAAAAACACAGGCACACATTTACAATCTAAAAATGCTTGCATCGGCAATTAAATGAATATCATCGAACTGTTTTAAGTTTGATAAAAGTAGATGACTTTTCTTATAGGATCAAAATTTGATTTGAAATGCTGAAGTGATCGAAGTAGGCTATGCTGATTATACCACGACTTGTTTGTCACAGTGATTTTTATTTTCATGAAATAAAATGTGTGTATGTGTGAGAATGTTTATAATTCGATGAACAGAAGAAAGCTCTTCGTCGTGGTTAGAATTTACTTCTGTTGATCATTAAATGTCGATCAATTGAATGCCGAGTAATATTCAGATTTAAAAGAAACCATTTTAGAGTATCTACATTAATGGTGATTGAATCTAATAAGCTTCATGGTCTTTTCTTTGTCTCTATTCTTACCGAACGAATGTATTTGACGAGAAGTTCTGCTTCCATAAAAATAATCATTAATTATGAGCTCGAATATTTTTTGAAATAATTAGAGTTAAAATACGTTTTATTATAAATAGCATCAAAAGTACAAAAAGCAAAGATATCTTACTTCAATATATAGTGCAGTTAGATAGGATAGAAAATGTGAGAGATTGCTAAGCATATTATTTGTTAGATTCTTTATCTGCAATTATCATTATTGACTTTATTGATTGACCGTAGAATAATGCATGGACATTGGCATGTTTGACAAATCCGCATACTAGAACGTCTGATTGTTTTTCGTTCTCCATGTCGATTAAAGCATATAGCATCCATTACTTGCAGGATGACAAGATAAATCTATAGAAAACAAAATAAAGTGTTTTCATTGATAAAAGACAAACACTTCTATGATTCTATAGTTTGAATTTATAGACTACTCATAAATACATCGTACAATCAAACGAAACTAAATCTCAACAGTCATTGTATTTCTAGTAAATTGATGTCAACTACTAATTGGAAAATATGCCGCAAAAGTCATGCGGAAGAATTTTGTCCAAACGATTCTTTGAAAAAAATCATTTCAAATCTCCATTCATTGAACATATACTATGTAAGACAAAACTCATGAATCATCGCCATGATATAAATTTGTATAGTTTATTTCCTCATTCTTTGGGTAAACAAGGTAAGTTTTACGAATATTAGAACATTTTCTATTCCAAAGTTTTTCGAAACCAAAACATTTTTTTAAATCATCAAAAAAGCTGAGCGACCAAATTAGCCTACACCTCTATTTGTAATCAAAACATTCAGTTCGAAATCGAATGAAATATTTTTTCGAATTTTCCATATCATTTTTATTTCTATTATCATTCTATTTAATGTATCTTTTCTCTTCTAATCAATTGAATTGTTCAGAGGTGAAATAAAATATTACTCCGATAATATTTCTGTGTCGTTGTAAGAATAATGTTTCGAAAGTTAGAACAGTTGAATGTGCTAACGAAAAGTAAACTTAGATACAGTGATGAAAAGAACAAGTTTTGAAATAAATGGAATGTCATCGATATCAATTCATTTTTACAAAACGGAAGTTCGAAGATGTTCTTTGTTTCTTTCTACGATTTGAATATAGGTTAATCTAGATTCTTACATGATGGTAAGTCGTCATCATAACATTGTGTAGAACTTGTTGCTTCGTTGTAGTGCATTGTTTGAGTAGATTCTGTAATACTCTAAATTAATCAAACATATTGGATTCAAGATATTTCAATAACCTGTATAGATTAAATGAAAATTTCTGCTTTTCCTTTCATTTCAGGCCAAAATAAAGCGTCATTCCATCGAATGATGGGATTCTTAGTTTTTAGAGCTTGAATTGAATCAGCAACTTCGTCCAATACAAAATGTGAGTGTAGGTGTAAGCCTAGTTTTTCTCTTTGCTCACATCTACACCAACACCCTAGGTTATAACTTGAGGATGTGGACGTGGGTGTTAGGATCGGTATATTGACGATACAGTATTGTCCGCCGACACTCACACTATCGGTATTCCAAATAATTCTTGTTAGTTCTTTGGATACTCAGCATAGATTATTATATTTCGTTCATGTCTTCCAATTTTATAGAGTAGAACTCATTCGAACAAGTCTAGCAGAATCAAAACGATCTGGTAAGATCTTTTAGCAAGATCGTAACCTGGATCATAGTATGCTTGATACACCCACTCCCATTTATTAGAAATTACAAAGGAAACAAAAAAATATATAAATTTTATAAAAGTACTCTAAGGTTCCAATATTCGATTATTTTAATCGCTTCTTTATCGCTGAGAAATCTGTAGCAATTGTTATATAATATATGAGATGATGATGATCTACGAATACAATACACAACATGTCCAACATATGAAAGATTGAACTTCTACGTTTAATGAGCAATGTAGAGTTATCGGAGTATTTAGTGATTTGTAAAGATATGATAAAATGACAACTAATTGCTGGAATAAAAAAAAAGGAAATATTGAAATTATCTTGTTTTTCCTACTGATTCAGCTATAGAAATATTTTTGTTTAGCTTAATGCTGTGTGGTAATCATAGACAACATCAAATATAATAAAAATTAGTGTGTAGACTTTTGATACAGCATATTGAGCTGCAGTTTAGTTTCTGAAATCAACTTTAACCAAAAAGATTGAAGAAACTCGATAATTTCGAATTATTCCCCAAGGAAGTTCTGTTCGATAGAGGATCCGAGTATTTATATAGTAACGATAAATCCAAAAACAATCGATTGTTCGAAACGATCTAATTGATGAGCTCTTTTCTACTTAGCCCTTGAAAATACGTTTCATGTAAAATACTCAAAATTTGCGATGAAACTAAATATTGATTTTTCAAGTTTCAACTACACGCCGCAGCACCCACTGACTTTTTACGGTCCGCTTGGGCTACGTCAAAATTCTTTTAGTGAGTCTCTGGATTGAAAATATGATAAATTTTTTCATCTATTCTTTTTATTTTTGAATTTATGAAGAATAATAAGATCGAAATATTCTTTCACTTAACCAAGTAACAGTTTTAACTCTTCAAAATTTTGATTTTTGATGTTTTGCTGCTCTTCTTTCAAATGTTTACTTTCCACAAATATGTTAAAAATTGTTCAAAGAAAACTTGAATACGGTAATAAATTCATCAATCATTCGTTCACTACTATAAGAGATTGTTATGCGTCATCATTTTCTCATTTGTGTTCCTCTTTCCCTTTCTTTCTTAGACTACGTGTATAGCATCTCTGTTAGTGTATTACACATTAGACATGCTTGCCTGTTACACTTTCTCTTTATGTTGTGTTTCTTTCATCAATATATTGAAGAGTAAACCAGAAATTCTTCTAAATATTCAGTATTGTTCAATTAAGAAAATTTTGATTGCAATGAAATTTTCATGGCCATTTAATTTCGTCTTAGCTTCCCATGAATGAATTTTGTTATCGATATTGACTGACTGTTAGTCTGACTATTTTATTCTTTAAAATAAAGGATGATAACATTATGTTCTGAACGCTGGGTTTTTTTTTCTTCCTCTTTCCTCTCTTTTTCTTTTCTATATATGTATTTGTCGATCAGTTTATGATTGAAAAAATTTCGTTCATTGTAGTGATCACCGTCATATCTTAACGAACATTGAAGAAAAAAATTTTTGTTTTTCAGAAATGCCCCGAAATGGTCCATGTACTAATATAACATGTGATAATGAAATCAAAGAATTATATGAATGTCATTGTTGTTTACGTCTTGTTTGTTTATATCATTTGAATAAACATGTTGAAATAGAAAAAAAATCTAAACAACGATCAGACACTTTTCGTAATGAATTAAATACAATGGTAAATACACTTCAAGAAATTCTTGAAGAAAAACAATTAACTATTAATCGTGAACAAAATTTGATTGAACAAACAAAACAATTTCTTGATGAACCCAATATTTCAATCGATGAACTACAAGGCATTTTCGAAAAAATTCATCAAGCAATATTAACAAATCATTCGGGTAAAAACTAAATTAGACAATCACTTTTTGTTTGCTCATTGCTTTTTTTGTTATGGTAGAAATCACGGTCAAAGTCGAACCATCATTATCAGAAACTCAATATTGTTCATGTGCTGGCAAATATAATAAAGAAAATATGAATCCAAATGGTAATATAAAATTTCTTTCTAGAATATTTTTTCTTTTCATTGTATTTGCTCTGAACTTATCAATCAGTATTTGAATTCATATTGATACCAGAAAAATTTCTTGATACAAGTAATTGTAGTTAATGAGTCAAGTTATGACTGTTCTACTGAATTTTTAGTCAGCAAGTGCTCATAAACATAAGCCTTACAAAACCCCTTCTGAATAGCCTGAAATTTTCAGCTAGAAAAACGTCTATTTATCGAAATATTGCATTGCCAAGTAAATGTATTTTTTGCCATTATCTGTTTATGACAAATCTAATATCCATAAATTTACGTAATGTAGCTTATTTATTTTTGAATAAAATCTGCGAAAGATAAGTTAAGAATTCAATAAATCAGCTCATGAACACTACTTTTTACTCTATGCTAGTTTTTATCACTGACCTAATAAGTAAATATAAGTTTTTCATTTTTTTTAGATGTAACTGAAGAATCGAGAATCTTAAAAGGTAAGTTAAATTTTCTTTACATTCAAAAATAAGAACAAACATGGTTGATTTAAGGTGGCGTATTATATTTAGAGGATACCAACCACGATTTTATTGATCTTGTTTCAGATGAGTAAGTTTCTTCTTTTTTTTATTAGAAAAATATTTAAAACCGATTGCATATTTTAGTGAAACAACGAAATCTATTCAGGTAAAAATAATATTATCCATAAAAGATTTGATGAATTCATCTTGTGAATCGAAATATATCAAATATTCCTATATCGTATTTAAATGTACATTAAAGACTTTTTATTGGACGATTGGTAAAATTTCGCTCAAACTCTAATGACCGTAAATGGTTAAAATAAAAACAATACATTTTATTGCAGATTATTTAGAAAAGCAAATTTCTGATTCAATAAACTTTTTACGACAACACTTCTGTTTCGAATGTATGAACTATTCTTATTTCAAATTTGAACTGGAATATTTTCAAAAATAAACTTCACTTCGTAGCAAAGTCATATTGTCAGTCAAATACTATTCATAGAATATTTATTGTAAACTCGACTTGTCTATTTAATATTGTATCTAAATTAATTTTTTTTTCTATGAAATGAATCTGACATGGTACGTAAATATTCATTATTATTTGTTTGTTCAGGATGAACATGTAAATGAAGAAAAAGTGAAACATAAACGAAAATCATTCAAAAAAACTATTGGTAAATGTCCATTAACATTTGATGGAGCATATGGTCTTACTAAAGCAAATCATTCTGTTGAATTTTGTAAGCATAATACAACTCGTTTACTGACATTACATCTTCATTTCATGAACAAGCATAAATTAAAAAGTGCTCATTCTCAACGCTTGATACGAGCTGTTGTTGCCAATCAAGATCCTCGAAAAACAAAATTATTTCATAGAAATGAAAATGTTATTAATTGTTTTGATAACGTCCCATGTCCTTTCTTTTCTTGACAAATGAATTCATCAAATTACACTCGACAAAATGAAACAACTATGTTATGTCAACTTCGATTAGTTCCACTTAATGTATTCAAACGACATTTACAACGTCGTCATGATATTTCTGATTCATTGGCACAAAAATTGTTTGATGATTTCAAAAAAAGTCGAACAAAATGATATTGCCTTGACTCTACTGATTTCATCAACACGTTCAAAATAAAAGAAACTCTTGAAAGCTTTTTTCATTCATATTAGTCTTGTTTTTTTTCTTGTTAATAAAAATGAAAAATTCAATAAATCGAAACAGATGCTCAAGGTATCTTTGTGGTTGATCAAATTTTTCAGATTCAAGTTAATGGGTGAATAATAAAAAAACTAACGAGAAAACGTGTCAATTTGCTGGAGAACATTTGTCCTCATACTATGCCTACATAGACGTCTTAGTAAAATGAAGTTAAAAATTTCATGACTTTCTAATAAACATGAATGGTTTTTGAATCTGAATTTGTTCCCATGATAAAGTTTGATAGACCTGTAATTTTCTTCGATGTATCAAATTTCTAAACTGATTCTATTGCCATACTTCTTCGAATATCGGAGATTTCAAGAGGAACATCTGTTTTTCACTGAATAATTCTGAATTATTCAATTTCTAAGCAAAGTTTCATATAAGACCTAATTGTTTCGAACTTTGATTACAAAAGTCATAGCCATTTATCAGTAGATCATTTACCAAAATGTTGTTAAGTTTGAACTTGTCCGACTAAGACTTTCTCCTATTCATAATATGAGACTGAATGGCAGGGTGTGAGTGTGGTTTTCAGTCTTCAGTTTTCCGACACCCACATCATCGAAACACCAGAATCACTTAGACTAATAAAATGGCCACTGCCGATTTTTGACGCAAATAAAGAAGCGCCTAGCTGTATGCATGTACATAGACTATTAACAAAGATTGTATGTATTTCGTAAATTTTACCGGTATGAAATGCATCGAACGACCAGCAAGAAAGTATCCATCTGAATATAGAAACATTATTTTAATATATAGATCAAAAAGTGACATAAATCATTTCTTATAAATGAAATGAAAACTTGAATATTATGAATTTAAACTCTAGATCAACTATATGAATCAAACAGCTATTAATCGAACTCATTTTTTTTGTTACATGGGTAAAGAAGAATCACATGAAAGTACAAAAATATCAGGCTTTCAATTGTTTGTAGAGAAGTTCTTCAACCTTTCTTTCTCGATCCTCAGAAATCTAGAGATCATTCAAATGGAAATCGGTGGAACTCTCTGTATCGCATTAGCAAAACTTCAGAAAAACAAGATGATTTAGTTTTTTTCTATAGTATAGGGTGTGATCAGATAGAAACTAAATGTTTACAGCCATCAACACTCCTTTTATTAGGAGGTCTGCTATCTCTGTTCCTTACTCTTATCACATACCTCAAAATAAATTACTACCAGTATCCTTGATGATTTGATCAGTTGCGATTCATCTAAACAGATGTTGGACATTTATTCTATCTCTATGAAGCAGTGTGAAAATCGAAAGCAAATATTCATGGTAATAATTTCTTTCATGAGGTTTTTATATTTTATACGACTCATATGGTTTATCTTTTGCCTGCTATTCTATTGTAAGTGGCAGAAATAACAATGTGTAATTGCACAAACATATGAAATTTTTCATCTCGTTAAGTATAAAATTATTCTAATCGAATACAAGTAAATATTATACTGGTTTCAGTATAAGCGAAAGAAAATGACACCGAAGTTCTACGGCGGATGCGAGCAATGATGATGAAAGGAAAAAGTTTCAACGTGTTTCTCCTTGTTCAGTAACCAAAACGAACTCAGATAGGTAAGTAATGTATAAATGAATTTATTGCCAGTGTAATGTTCTAGTTAAGAAATTCGGTCACTTATTTTGAACATCTTCTAAATGAAATTATTTATGAGATTTGTGAGTTTCTTGATGCTTATCATGTTTATGAAACTTTTTTCAATCTGAATTTACGACTTCGAAATATTTGTACTCAATCAAATCTTTCAATTAAAATGAATATCTCATCTGCATCTAAATCGACTTTTCAAAATTGTTATACTTATTTCATTATGCCCAATAGACATCGAATTCATTCAATTAGTTTATCAAATCCATTCATCATCGACTTCTTTTCTTCACCAACAGAACATATTTCAAAATATTCTCAACTTCAAGCACTTGTTCTCCACGAGATTGAATCAAGATGTTTAGAGAATCTACTTGCCAGTTTAGCTTGTCTATCTAAATTTTTCATCATTAGCCATTGTTACAACCCATAATTAAGATATAAACAAAATTTATATTCTAATACGTCAGTTACCAGTATTAGGGGTGTGGCTGTGGATGCGTGTGGGGGTCGGTATCGATGAAAAGAAGATCCATATCCACACCCTCATCCCCACCCTCCGTAAAGAATTTTACAAGGTTTTGGGCAACTTCAAAGTACTAAATTTTACAGTGTCTATTGAAGCCTAATAGAATTTGCTGCTTTTCTTTGATGTATATTATCTTATTTCTTGTTTCTACCAGCAAACCCAGGTTATTTGTCATCATTGTAAAAATCCCGTAACCCAAGGGGTTAAGTTTTCTATTCTATTTACTGTATTGATTAAATTTAGTGTCAATGATTGTTATATTGTAGCACTGAAAAACTCCTCGAAAGGAAAAGTTCATCAATATAGACCAATATAAAAGCATGGATACCTGATGTTAGAAAATGAAAACAACATGATGAATTATTTTGCTCATTTATTTTCTGTTGATATACACTATTCCTTGATAGACATTAACGTTTGTGCATGTTGATTGATTTACCCTTGCTTTTCGAAAACTGTATGATCTTCTTCTTTGATTAATTTTAACATAGATCCTGCTTAATTCTTTCTTTCCGCTCATTATTTGTTTATCATAGTTTTTTGCCCTCTTTCTATCCAATAGAGAGGCTTTCAGCGGCGGTATAAAACGTCAATTACAAATTTTTTCAATTTTTTTAAACACAAATTTGTAATTAAATCATATTTTTATTCAAATAGCTACTCGTTCGTCATTATGAAATTGATCTCACACGAGATAATTTGAGTATTGTAATGAAATTAATGCGTGCGCTTCAGCAACAGCCAAAAGACGAACTAGAGCAACTTATTCTGGAATGTCAAGCAACGGCTGCGAAAGCGGGAGTGTACACCTTTCGAGTAAATGAAAACTGTGAAGGGTTTAGTTATGAGAAATAGGCAATAGTATTTGTTGATTTCATAATCTAATACTCAAAGGACGACTTTCAATATGAAATATGTTTTCAAGTTCATATTCATCTTCTAAGATAAATAGCAGCTGAAAGAGTAGTTGCCTTCGACGGCTAAATATGAAATATGAACTATATATTTGTTTTCTCGCTCAAAAAAAACTAGTTCGCATCTCATTGAATAATACACATTTTGAGTGAACCTTTTGTAATACTGCTCCAGAAAGCTGTTGCTTTTAACGGCTGAATATAAAATTACAAAAATGTCTCCTTCTCTCACTCGAAAAATCGAGCCTTATTTCAATGAATTATGCGTTTTTTTAGATTTTGTCTTTAAAACTGCTCCACAAAGCTGTCGCCTTCTACGGCATGTGCTTCTGAAACAAATACTGAAATAATAATTCCAACAGAGTCATTTTATCGTCAGAAAATACTGATCTTAGCATGTGAAAAAAATTTTCATTGCGCCGCACTTCAAAAATCAAGTATAGAAAAGGTGACAGAAAACGACTTTTACACTTGTGGCGGAAAATTTTTTAGATCTCCCTCCCCTATCGTGGGTTTGGAGGTCAGATACACCTATGGTTGTCGTTAGGCAATTTTTCGTTGACCACACCTCTATGAAAACTGTTTAGGACACTTACATCCATTCTCCAATCTTAGACTCTTTGTGCGGCCACTGCTTAACAATCAAAGCAAACTCTTGATTCGTTAAGAAAGGAAACACGAAATTTCATAGCTGATAACGACGTGTTATAATTCAATTACTTTTGGATGTTTTCTACAAACTTATACAGCTGATAATACTCAAGCACAAACCATAATATAGCAAATCGGTCGATTAGAACAACTGCTTAATACAACAGAAGACCATGTTCAGAAATTTTGTTTTTTACTTTTAAAACAAATCTTCGTAAGGCTTTTTGTCCTAGTATTGAGAAAACTGATATGATTCTAAAAATGATTCATGATTTCGAACAAGGTTTAGAAAATTTTCGTTCTGAAATGGATACTGTTGAAACAAATTTACAAAAATCTTTATCATAAAATACATCGAATGCAACTGAATAACGTATTTATCAATAATCAATCGCTATACGTAAAAATTTTTAAAAATCATAACCTAAAAAAACTGTTATTTTAAAATGTTAGGCAGTCGAAACTGATATTGAAAAACATAGTACTATTGTTAGTAGTATTCTTACTCTTGACCATAATTTATTAAGTAAGGGCAATATTCATTCACAAAATCTAACTTCAGCATCCTATAAAATTCATTCTATTGAACAAGGTTGGATATCACTGAAAGATTTAATATTAAAAAGAAAACTTGAGTAGGAAACGTTTTTTGCCTACTCTTAATACAATGAAGTCATTTTTCATAAACGGTAGATTGGATACAATACATATATCATGGAGAGACGCTGATGAAGCAATAAGATGTGAATTAAAAATGATTACTTATTATCGACAATTTCTTAATGAAGATATGAGAATATCGGGATAAGGTTCACAAAGAATCAACAGTGGGTGTGGATATGAGTAAAAAGATTAAATCATCCGCAACCAAATGTACACCCTTCTCTTCTCATCCGCACGCGCATTTGTTTCGCGGAACCCACAAAGTATCCTTTGTAGCCGGACATTTGAACGGCGTATGAGGATTAATTAAACGTGTTGAAGTTTATGAACGCTTAAGTAGGAGTTTC